GCCGGGGCTGCAGCGAGGTGTGGAGCCTGGGGAGGGGAGACGCGATGGCAGAGGCTGCTTCTTGCAGCTTTTGCTGCATTCAAAGGCTGCAGCATGAAGCCCAGAGCCTGGTTCGCAGCTCGCTCCTTGGCACGGCTGTGCCGATTGCAACAAATCCTCCCAGGGAGGTCTGCCACCCTCACCGACACCTCCTCCTCCTCCCTGGAGGCAAACTGGTTCACTTGCTGCTGGGGATAAGCAAGGGACAAGTTTGAAGCAGTCCCTGGGAGCCAGCAGCTCCGGGCCCAGCTCTTCCACTGCCCCCAGCTCTCCCGACTCACCCACCAGCTCCCCTGCTGCAGTTTTATTTCCAGAGCTAGACAATCCTCGGTCCCTTCCTGGGGGCTCACCCTGAGCGATGAGAAGGGGAGCAGAGCCCCAGCATGGCTAAGGCGAGCTGCGGCTGTTTCTGCAGAGCCGCCCCGTTCACCTGCGAGCAGCAAGAGCAAATCCCTCTCGGTGTCTCCAGGCTTTGTAGAGAAGACATCAAACACCTGCTTTTAAGTTTGAAGGGGCAATACAGGAACACACGCATGACTGTGCACACAAAACCTTTGCCTGTTCTTCCTCAGATACACCCCATGCAGCACACGGTGTTTTGGGACTAGAGGGTTTACCCCAGCACGATCGCGGGGAGCGTTATCGTGCAGGATCTGTTTGGCAGAGGAAGTATTACACAGGGCGGGAGGCTCCCACACCCCCGCGTTTCACGGCTCTTTCCTGAACGGGTGACACATCCCACACCGTCTACTACAGCTTTCTGTTCAGTCAGACAGGGGCTCTTGCCCTCTTTGATGTCCAACACTTTCTAGCCAACACAACACAACTCCTACCCGAGAGAAGCACCTACCAGTACCGCTGGGGTTAACAACTTTCAGCCTCACTACACACAACTGCACTTTCTCTCTCACAAGTTAAATAACTGCAGCTATTTCCGATACCTGAGCAGAGAAGTAAGATTTGAAGTGGGAGTATGGCAAAGCGCCGGGTCCACGGCGGCAGAACGTGGAGGATCTGCATCCCCGCGGAGGATGCTACGAGCCTCCGGCTCGCAGAGAGGCATCTGCAGAGGCTGCAGCTCCTGGCAGACACCACGCCAGGGCATTATAGCGTTAGACGACTCTCGGCAAGCCTTGTCCGAGCCTATGCTATGGCAAAGGTGCTGGGATAAAAGCGTACAAGGGGGTATCCTAGAGACAGGCAGGCGGCATTCATGGATGCTTCCCGGTACATCTTGAAGCAATTTAAAGTGTTTAGCTTTAAATCCTGTCCGGGCTGAATGCGGAAACGGCCAGGCAGAGAGAAGCAGGAGGAGAGAGGCGCATTTAGAAGGTGCTACAACACAAGCGTTTTTGCTCCCTGCTATTAAAGCAGCGCTGCAAATAGCATTTGTCAATCCCTAAAGGTCTTTACTCCTCCACTGCAGAACAACAAAAGAGAAAAACCACACACCGCCAGCCTGCGGCTTGCAGGATCAAGTCTTTGGTCCTTTAAAAGAAGTGCAGAGCCAAAGCGTTTGTCCCCTTTCCAACCACGCCCTTTCCCTCTCCTCTGGGGAGGCGAAGGGAGCCGCGGCTCGGATCTCAGCCATCAGCTGCAGCGTCATATTCCGGGTCATCCAAAGATTGGCAGAGTCCAGGAGACGGGCAAGTCGGGATCACGTGTTTCTACCGTCAGGAAAGAGGCCTTTAAGCGCAAAGCCATCTCTATCCCATGAAAAGCAGCAGTAGGGTATTTTACTTTGCGGGTTCCCTCGAAGGAGAAGCCACTACGAAAGGACACTGTCCTACGCTAACAGGAACTGGAGCAGAGAAGCAGGAGAGACACTACATCCGCAGCAGAGCAGCCAGACTGGCTCAGAGAGCACAGATGCTGTTTGTTTTCAGCCCAATTACCTTGCTGCACATATTGTCTTTACTGCAGTTCTTGTTATCCTTGTCTGTTGCTTCCTCCTCCACCTTTACAAGGGAAAAAAATAAAAAGGGTATAAATAAAAACGCAGAGCCAGGCGGGATGGGAGGAGACTGAACAGCTGGTGTTGGGATGAGATCCGGAGCGTTCCATAGACGTCGGACACGGGGAGCTATGGAGGAGCTGGGATTCGGACAATAAGCCAGGCAACCCACTCGGGCAGCTTCTACTTCATGAAACAACATGAGAGCCACAAAGATTTGTTCCTATAAGGGACAGAGATGTCACCTCCAGCTGGGACACACACCCCAGAGCCAAGTTCCTTGGCTCTGCACATGGTGCACCGGGAGTGCTGGGTGCCTTACGAAGCTGAATTGTGTAACCACAGGCTATCGAACCTCTCGGCCTCCCTCCTGCAAGGCTCAGGGCTGGGACAAAGTGGGTCTGGGCTCCGGGGAGGCTCCTGACCGCTGCTCCTGCAATCATCCACCGGATAAACGGGCTGATCTGGGACTCCGCAGATTCTGGAGCACAGCCCAGCACCAGGAGGTCTCCTTGCCCCTGCCTGCCCGCAGGTCTCCGGTCACTCATGGGAGGTTCAGCTTCCACCCCTCAAGCTAAGGCAGGCCAAGAATTCCATTTTCTTATTTCCTGGAAAACTCTTCCAGGTTTATACTCCTCCATCCCGCTGTTACATCCTCCAGTGAGCACGGCTGCCATGGTCCAGACCCTGCGCTCTCTGCATGTCTCCAACACGCCTCCCGCGCCCAGCACGGTGCCAACCCTGGATCCCAGCCACGCCGAGGATGAGCACCAACACCCTGCCGTGGGCCGATGCCCAGCAGGCAGGGAACTCCCAGGTAAGGAAAGAGGGAGGCATTGTTCCCATTTAAGAGCAGGCAGCTGCAGGGCAGATTTTCTTGGATCTCCACTTCAGACTTGCCGCATTCAAGCCCTGTTTTAGGTACCCAAATCCATCACCTGGCAGAAACAATCCACCAGTGGGAACTGGAGGGCTGATGCCAACAGCACTGATCAGATCAAGGGCAACAAGAGAGGATCCAACCTCCAACAGCTGCTTATCTCTGACCCCGCAAGGGAGAGCAACGTCTCTGGGACAGCAGAGACACGGGATGGTGATTCGGTAGCCGCACACAGGGCGAACCCGGGTCAGAGCACCCCAGAGCTGGCCGAGCAAGCCGACTGCATGTGGCTTTTCTAGCTGCTCTCTGCCTCCTCCCCGCAAGCGAAGCTGATGGGAGCAGTCCTTGGGGAACAACAGATGTGGGGCAACCCCAAAGAGGAGCAGCAGATGGACGCAAGGTGATAAAATGTCTCCCTCAGGTGGGAGGAGAGGACAGGGGAAGCACAGCAGTGGGGATGAAGATGACAGGGTGGGCTGGCTCGCGTGCAGCTCCCCACCCGGGGCACAGAGCCAGGTCTAAGCTCAGCTTCGACAGGAGAAGGTTGAGCAGGCATCTCAGGCTGGGATTCAGAAAAAAAAAAAAGCACAAAACCTCTCAGCAGCTTTTCGCCAGAGACTCTCACAACCCTTTCTGAATAATTCAGCAACCTGCATAATCTCTCCGGAGGACGGACCTTTTGCCATCTGCATTCGACAGCAGACACCGGGGAGCGACCGGCCACAGTCACACAGCCTGGGAACTGGTTATCCTGGTCAGTCACGCCTGCATGAGGCTTTCCCAGCACTAGGAGCTCCTTGCTCCAGGTGCAACATGAAACACCCTCCACCCACAGAGCCCAGGCCTTTGAAAGCCAGCCGGTCTAGCCCCGTGCTCCCTGGAGACCCAGTATCACTCCTCTGAGCGTCCGATTACTCCTCATACAAGCTGCCGTTGAGGACCAGGCAGAAACGCTTGCCACTAAAAGCCTCCTGTAAAAGGTGAAGCCGGTTCCCTGCAGTTACAGGTTCTTACCTCCTTCCTCCACTTGAGCTCGCAGAAAACCCGTTCGAAGCACTCATGCATGTAGTTGAACTGCAAAGAGAAAGCAAGCATCTCTCAGCGCAGCAAGCAGCCCCAGACAGCCGCCCTGGCTTCCAGCCGGAGAATGTCTGGCACTGGTTGCCTGCCCAGAGCTCCCTGTGCTGCGGGCTCCTCCTGGTGGCCACCGGCCCCCACGTCTCCTCCCACCCTAAAAGCTGGAGCACAGGGTGCTCCTCCAGCTTCTAGAGGGAAAAGAAGCAGGCTCTGGGCTTTTCCTTAGCAAGTCTGCAAAGAAGAGGGGTACTTACATAGGGGGTGAAGATTTTAACCCATCGGGGTTTCTTCTCTCCTCGTGCGTATTCAAAACAAAATGCCATTCCCTCTTCGTCTGTGTCCCACCGCTGCATTTCGTCCCATTCGAATGCTATTACCTGGTTCTGAAGGAAGACAAAACCCAGGTGAGGCCAGAGCCCAGCAGACTGCGAGGAAGGGGAGGTTTAAGGCAAATCAGGTGGCAAAAGTGAAGCCATGCGAAGGGGGAATGAGGATGCCTCGGACAGCCTTGCAGAGACAGGCATGAGCCGAGGAAGCAGCAGCAGAAACACACGCTAACACCCACAGAGCAGCCAGATAAACCCCTGCGCTCCCGACCACTGCCAAAATCCCTTCGGATGCTGCTCAGCAGCAGTCCTGAGCCCCAGAGCTGCGGGGACACGGTGCTGGTGCAAAGCCAAGGTGGAGGCCAGGGGCTGAGCCCAGCTCCCCGGGACCTCAGGGCAGAAACCCCCTTACCTCCAGCTGGCCCTCCTCTGTGCAGGCATGGAGTTTAAAGTGCTTAATGCTGATGGCTGTGATCACATGTCCCTTCCGCCGAGAGTCACAGGAGCAATGGGGGAAGATGATCTCGTTGTAACCCTCGCACGTCCGTAACATGTTTAAATACTGCAGAGAGAGAGACGCAGGCGTTAGCTTGCTCGGACAAAGGGACGGGGACCCCGCACCCTCCTGCTTCTCACGTGGCCTCCACCTCTCGCACGCCCTAGTGCTAATCACCCCCTTGGAAATCCTGGGCTTCACCCCAGCCCAGGGAGGCCGGGTCCCCTCCAAAGGAAACCGAAAACCCGCAGGCTGTGCTAGGGGAAGGAAGGAGACCCCTCCAGCTGCTCAATTCCCCTCCACAAAACGTGGATCCATCCAGGCACAGACGTGCACAGAGCTCCTCATGGCCTCGAACGCCAAAAGCCCTTTCCAGGAGAGCTGGTGCAGCCGGAGTCGCCGATCAGCGTGACCATGCTCACGGGTACGGATCTGAGCAAACAGCTAAAGCAGCCCTGGGACTGAAAGCACCGCTCTCGCTAGAGCCGTCCTCCTGATCGTTACAGGTTGAAGATGAGACCAGAAAAAGAGGCGGATCTGGGTTTCTCAGAGTCCTTTGATGCAAATGCTACAACTCATGAAAAGCACCAAAGAGGTATTTTGACTATTTTTTTCTTTCTGAGTGTAGCTCAGACAAAGCAGCGCTGTGAGGACACCGGAGAAGCGCTGGGAACTCAGAGTCACAGCTCGGGACGCGGGAGAAGCCAGGAGCTTCTCCAGGGGCCAGGGCTCCAGAGCCCTGCAACATCTCGTAGCACGAGGAAGGTTTACGCAGGGCAGAACTACAACAAAGTCTGAAGTGACTTTTTAACCAAGGAACAAGCCACATCCAGACTGGAGGAAGGGGCCAAATCCTCAAGCATTGTGCTCCAGGCAGGACCCTTAATAACATGGGGGGAGGCAGAGAATGAAGTACTTTGACTTCGTAGGCTCTTTGGGACACAGACATTGTCTTCTTGACCTCCTGCTAGAGCAGGGCCCTACCGCACCTGGGTGTGTGTGTGTGTGGGGGGGTGTATATATATATATATATATGCTGGGATATACCCTTTCCAAAGATTCAGATCTTTCTTTGGTCATTAGAAAGCCAGCGAGACAAGCAGAAACAAAAGAGCCATGAGACAACCCACAGGAGGAAGCGTCTATTTATGATCCTTATCATTAGTTAATAATTAACTTTCTTGGCTTAGCATTTCAGGTGACCCTTCTGGGGTCCAGCCCAAGGTCCCCCCAGCAGGGACCTCTGAGAACTACCGCAGTCAAAGGGGCTTTGAGGAGAGGCCCGACCAAGACCAGTCAAGCTGGAGAAGGGGATTCCCAAGGCCGTTGCTCTTCGAGAGCAGCCAAGCTGGCCACGAGAACGCAGGCGGGGTGCAGCGAGTCAGGGAAAGGGCAGCCTGCGCTCCCTCGGTACCAGCAGCCCCGAGCAACCCAGGAAGTTATTTACAAGTCAGATTCTTCTGCTGTTTGATCCTCAAGCCAAGCTTGCGTCTGCCAGATGAGCTCAGGGCATCCCCTTCACTCCCCCAAGCCAGGCAGGCTCATCAAGTCATACCAAGCCCCCAAGCATTTGCTGGGCAAAGTGATAAGGGGCAGAAAATCCCCGACCAGACAGCGAGCTCTGACACAGGATTTGCAATCCGGGAAGACTTCTGCCGGACAAAAAAAAAAAAAAAGAAACTAAGGCACAGAGCGGGGAGAAACTCTCATTACGAGTAGGCCAGGACCAACCCCTCCCTTGGCTAGCCCAGCACCGCCATCTCAGAGGCAGTCTGAGACAGAAAGAGACCTTTGCCTCTCAATTACTAGGAAGAAACAGCCATCCCTGAAGGGCTGCGGGTGAAGGATTGCTACACCACATGTTAAGCACCTCACCTTTCAACGCTGGCAATAACCCACAAGGTTTTATCACTGCCTTGTTTGGAGCCGAGTCAATGGGTGATCTTGCCAAGGACAAGCCGCTGTTAGAACGCGCCAGGCACGAGGGGTGGTTTTGGTTCCTGCAGCAGCCTGGCCACCCCTGGTGACCGCCCCAGCCCTGCGCCTGGCATTCCTGCGTGTCTGCACGCCCTGCCAATCCCTCCTGTACTAAGCCCACACCCCCACCGCTCTCCATGGTTATTGCTTTCCAAGAAAGATGTGTTTTTCAAGGCTGTGTGCATAGAATGCTTTGTGTTGGAAGGGACCTTTGAAGATCATCTAGTCCACCCCCCCTGCCATGGGCAGGGACATCTTTCACTAGATCAGGTTGCTCAGAGCCCCGTCCAACCTGACCTTGAACACTTCCAGTGATGGGGCATCCACAACTTCTCTGGGCAACCTGTGCCAGTGTCTCCTTTCCAGACACAGCATTGCAAACAGGAAGGAAAGCAAACAGGACAGGTAGGGTAACTCACCATGACCATCTTTCTCTGCTCACACAGCTTCTGTAACTGGTAGGACTTCTCCTCTGCTTTGATGTAGCCTTTCTTGACATCATCAACCGCCTTAACAGAAAAAGGGAAAGGAAACCCAGGAGGTCACACGAGAGGATCTCTTCACTGAGTCACAATGCTTTGCCTTCCCTGGCTGGCCCCGAGGCTGTTTTGAACAGCCACCCAAATTCACAGCCCCAGAAGGTGCCCAGTGTGCCCAGAGAGGCAGAAGGATGGCCAGGCTCAGAGGGATGATTCTTCGCACTTGCTGACTCCTTCCACGAGCCTCTGACTGCCTTGGGGAGCGTACAGATGCCTACGTGTCTAGGAGGACTTTGGAAGAATGTCCCCTGGCAAAAGAGGATGGATCTGGAAATGCTGGTACCTGGTACGCTGCTTTTGGCTTCAGCCACAGGCAAGGACAGGCTGGTACAACCCCTCCGCTCCAGACACAGCCGTCTCCAGCAGAGCAGTGCTGGCTTTTACCCACTGTGCTGCTGGAGTGTTGGCATGAAAATGTTATTTTTCCTTCAGGACTGAGCAGGTACACGGCCCCTTACTTTCGCTCCTCAGCTGCACACTCCAACAAGGACTCCTGCCCCTGTCACAAAGCGGCTTGTAAAACCGCCAGCCAGTAAAGAGCCAGTCTAGGAGATCAAAGAATTTGACAACTACTATTTTTATTTCAATTTGTACCAGAGGCTGGTACAGGCCCAGTTCAGAGACCGTTGGGACAGCATTTTTTGGTGGTCGAGACAGAGCAGGATTCATCTTCCTGAACTTTGCAGTTATCTACCTCTGAGCTGGTCATCCTAGACTGGCTTCATACAGGCAATGGGAGAACATGGCTCTTCTCGGACTCACTTCGTCCCAGAGGATCTGCATAAAGTGAAATCACAGGCAGAAACATCCCCTTTCCTTAGGGTGAACAGGGAGAAGTCTGTTCCCCAGCTGGTCACAGACATCTTCACTGACAACACAGAGAATTGAGGAAAACATATCTGACCCAAGGAGCGCAGCCTCCCAGGATCCTTTTAGCTCGCTCTGGGAAGGCAACTTCCCCGCAATGAGAGTGGCCAAAGTCCTGCCTCCCGGTCCGACTGTGACTTGGCCACAAGTTCACAGCACTGCCAATTCACCCAACCATGGACTTCTACTCCTTGAAGCTACCCAAGCAGGACTGGCCCTCAACTTCACACTCTGTTGCCAGTATGCCAAAGGATAGTGGTGTTTGGAGCAGTTCTGGGAGCCGGGCACTTGTCTTGCCTTACCTCCAGTAAAAAATTACAGCTCTTGGGCACCTACCTGATGGAAGAAGTAGGTGACTGCCAGGTCGTTGTCATTGAGAAGAACCTCCTCCTCTGTAGTGAAGAGCCATTTTCGGATGGTCAGGCACGTTCCTGGCACTGCTGAGGTGTAGTTCTGCACGTAGAGTTTGTGGGGGAATTCGTTGGGCGCCAGTTTGCGCACTGGAAAAAGCACAAGACATCGAGGTAAGCACACAGCCCCGCACAGCGTCAGCAGCGTCGTCTGTGACCGCAGCCCAGCTGCCGTATGAATCAACATCGGCGATGCCCTTCAGTTGAGCCAGCCAGGATCAGGACCCCAGCTCTGCTCCAAGACCCTTTCTTCTCCTCCCTGACCTTCCTCCCTGAAGCTTTTCTCAATACCAGCATCCATAGTGTCGGACCACGCTGGTTCTCTACTGCACAGGCAGGAATCTGCGTGAGACTGAACTCCTCTCGCCCATCGGAGAGCTCAGCGCAGCTCTCAAGCATCAGCACAACAGCCTGACTTCAGCCCCTGCTGCGCACAGGGAGGTCCACCCTGCCTAAGCCTTAGGACCACAGTGCCCTGGACCTATGCACTGTCCCCACGGCATGGGGGCACTGGAGAAGGTCCCCCCTGTCCTGGCAGGCTGCCACCAGCGAGCCCCCCTCGAGACATTTACTGTGTTCAGATCTGCTTTACCTAGCTATGATGGACAAAAAACAGGCGAGTGCTAGTATGTCTCTTTCATTAGGTAGGTATATGGTCACTATCTTACTGCAGATGGAGCTTATGGTTTCGAAAGAAATTAAATGGAGTGTATCCAGACAGTAATAAATGTGGATGTTCACAGTGAGTGTCCAGAAAGCACAAGCCAGAAAGGTTAACTGGAGTTTTTACTTTCCAGCGCAGTTTGAGAAGTGCTCACAGGAACGAGGAATTAATAGCTCCAGTTAAGAGTCTGGCACCATAAAAGCTTCCTGCATGAGACTGTGCCAGCGTGCTGCAGCGTCCCGTCTCCCAAGAGCAGGTATTCCTGCTCAAAGCTCCCCACACAGCCCTGCCCGGCCTCGGCAATCTCAAAGCATGTCGATCCTCCAGCCCTGGTCTTCCCTCACTACGTCTGTGTCCTGCTCTGACACACCAGCACCCGGTAACCCTCAAGAAGTGACCACAAACCCCGTGGCAGAGGCAGTTCTGCGATGCCAACAGTTTTACAGGAGACTGGCGATCTTGGCTGCCCCAGGGTCAGCATCTGAATGCAAACCTAGCCTGTTCTGTGAGATGAGTCATTTTAGGAGGGCTTTAAGTAGCTAAAAATTGCCCCGGCCATTCAGCCAGAATCTTGTGAGCATGAGGAACAGCCCTAGAAATCTCTTCCTACAAGGCACAGTTTGCTGTAACAACAGGATGAGTTTGAGGCATATAGAGATGACAATCCAGAAATGAAGGTACTCAGCTGGGAATGAGAAATACACTTGGCTTAAAACGCAGCACAGGGAAAAAATAAACCACAAACCAGCCACTACACCCATTTTGTGGCGTGACCACGACATTTTGGTCTTTCTACAGCTTCAGCAAACCCAACATGAAGCTGGGCGGAATCAGCAATTGCTGCGGTGAGGGATCTGAACAGCAGCCAGGAGACCCCAGCACATGCTAAGCTGGAAGGATCGCAATTACTAAAGTGCCAAAATGATCGCCCAGAATCCCACAGTCAAGCCTCAAATACCATCAGGATTTAACCACAGAAGGACAGATGAGAAGCTAAGATGCAGCTTGCAGCACATCCCCTCCAAGACCTGGACACTCACCCACACCTACGTGCGTACAGACTGAGTGTGCCCTCGATCCACTTTCCTTTCCAGCAAAGGAAAAAGAAAAAATCCATCCCAAGCCACTGCTGGTGCCCCCCTCTCCAGAGACAGCTGCGTTACAGTAACGCTGCCCACTTTTTCTAAGCTCGCTGGACCCTTTGAACTAAAGTAAAATGCATCTCTCAGTTTAACAAAAAGCTCGTCTCCTTGAACTGCTTAAGAAAGGGAAAGTCAAGCGGCAGCAAAAAAAGCCATCAAACTTTGAGGGCTCCTCATTATCAGAGCCTACTGTGCCTGCCCGATTCCTCCCGGGGGCTTCTGATTTTGCGAGTAGAGATAAGACCTAAATGAGAGGGCCACTGGGCTCTGCTAGCACTGCAGAGCTTTCTCCTCAGTTGCTCGTCAGCACCGAGGGGATTAAAAGACTTACCAAAGGAGTGATTGATCACTTCAAACAAGGCGAAGTAGTTTGCGGTAATACTGTCCATTCCGACTTTCGCAGCCACAGCCTAAAGAGCAACCGAACAGGAAAATGGGATGAGAAAAACAGGAGCCAGCAGCTGTCCATCCCCCTCCCAGGTAATGCTAGCTTCATACAGGTTATTCCCAAGTATTCCCTAACCCGAGGTGTCAGTCAAGATGGAAAACCTGAATTTTACTCTTCCAGTAAAACCAGATGTTTTCTTAAGCAAGGGCTGGGACTCTCCTGCTTTCCCCTTCCTGTAAACTGCTCTAGATTTTAAGTGCCACCACGGCTGACAATTAGGTCATCTTTTCTTCTGATGCCTTCAGCTTCAGTTCCTAATAGAAGAGCTGTGCACACCTCCCCTAGGAGTTTTCTCCAACAATGCTTCAGTCCTGCACGCTAGTACCACGGCCAAAAGTCACAGACCTCGGCGAAGGCGACGTGAAATTCAATCGGCTGTGTCCCAGGCGCACAAACGTACTGCGAATCCCATCTGCAGGACTCTGCCATGCAGACCTGGAGTTCAAGAGCCTGCTCTTTCGCAACCCTCTGGCTCCCTCGCTTGCAGCAACATTTTTAGTTCCCCTTTCAAAAAGGGTCTCCCCCACATCATCTTATTCCTCCTAATTCATCAACAGCTTCCACCTTTCCTCCAGCAGTGCTGGTTGAAGTCAGTCGTCCTTAGTTTTCCGCTTAAAGCACTGGGCCTCCGGCCACTCGCAAACCTGTAATCTGGCCAGAGGATTCCCCAAAAGGGTCACTACACTTAATATTCAACTTGCTGTCCTGCCACACAGCCACAGCGAGACTCGTGTGTTGGCTGCAGGCAGCTCTTGGATCCAACTCCTCCACCGCAGCCACTGCAAGCCATAACACACAATCTGTCTAGTGCTTAGAGCCATCCGCCAGCTTTAAGATATTATCAGTGAAAATTAATTCAGCGATGACTCTGTCCTTGCAGCCAAGCCTGCCAGCGAAAACGCTGCTTCAGCACGGCGCAAGGTTAGAGTTCTCTAGCATCCCTGTCCTCTCTGCTATAGCAAAGCAGCATCACTGATGCCCACCTGCACTCGAGAGGAGCAAGTGGGTGCCCACGGGGTCTTGTTAACGTCCGAATTACGTTAATCTTCCAGTCAAGGCAAAAAAACCAGTAGCTCACCTGGTACACCTGGTCTGTAGTGCTGTTCTTTTTGACTCTGACTGTCACTGTTGTTATGTCTGGTAATGCTACTCGGAGCTCCACGTCTGAGACGCCGTTGTAATTCTGAAGGAGGGAAGAAGAGAGGACAGAAATCAGCATCACACAAACTGAGCCCCAAGCTCTATGGACTATTTATTGCCTCGCACTGGCCAATTAAAATGGTCACTTCTAACAACCAGCTGCTCTGCAAGCCTCAAGAATCCAATTCCAGTCTGCACCACAGAAATTCTGAAAGAAGGAAGATGTGAGCTCTGCTCCGAGACAGGAAGCTGAGCAAACTGCTTCAGACCACGACGGGGTAGGATTTTCCATTCACGGGTTTGCCAGTGAAGAGCAAAAGAAAACTCCGGGACACAGCAACTTAACGCACCATGGAAAGGTTGGAAAAAGAACAACAGTTAAAGGGCAAATAGCAACTCACTGCTGCTGCCTGCAACTCGCGTCTCGGGAGGAGCAAGTCAGACAGACTGGTATTCAGAGTGCCTGCTGCCTTTATGCCAAAGGCTGACGAATACAAACAGCTCACAAATGCAAAGCTACCTGGGCTGCCACCAGCACAGAAACCAGCAGGAAAGTCAGCGAATGCATTTTTTTGCCGGGTCGCCCCTTGCCAGAGAGCCAGGGTACGCAACGAGGCCTCGTGGCTGGTCCTGCTCTGTGCACACCTCCGAGAGCAGCACCAAAGCTGCTCTTAGCTGCTGCTATGGAGAAAAGGTTTCCTATGTGCAATGACAGACAGCAAACTCCAGCCTTGATTTTTTGCCACGGTTTTCTGTTCAACCAGCTGAGGGTTTGGCAGGGAACGTCTTTGCTCTCTGATCCAGTTTTACCAAGCATTTATGGCCTCTGTAACAAGGAAGGTCACAGCACAGCTTCAGCACCATCGCCTACGTGCCTACCTCGTCCGACTCCGACAGGAACTCCTGCATGATGTCGCTCTCCCCAATGACACGTATCGAACACACTGCGGGACAGAGAGCGCAGGTTAGTGGGGTGCCCGGGGAAAGGGGGAGCCCTCCCCTCCCGGGACAGGCCCAAAAGCGACATGGAAACAACAACTGTCTGTTCTGCGGGCGGCGTGAAACAAAGGTGGTATCTCCAGCCTGGAAAAACCTTCTCAAAGCAAGTGCTTTCCGGTCTGTATCAGGTGTCCTGGCACGAAGACTGATCCAGTCTGAATCCCCTACAATAGCAAGTGACAAGAGGTGTTGAGTAACTCACTGAGATATTCCCCGTGGGTGAAATCCAGGCCCCAGGCACACGGCCAACAGGAGGTTTAGACTATACTTAAAAGCGGGCAAGAATTTCATAAATAGTACTTTTGCCTCTAAAAAAAAAAGTTATTCCAGAGGGACTGAAACTATTTGGGAATTTAGGCCAAGTTCAGCAAATAATTTGGACCCAGACTGTATCATGTTGCCTCTAAGATGCAACCAGCCTGCCCCTTCCTCCAGCCAGCTGGAAAACGAGGATGAAGACGAACGAGCTGGGCAAGGCAGGGCTGAGATATCAGCGGGGTGGGGAACACCTGACCACATCTTATGGGAAGAGGGGGCTTCAATCCCAGGTGCTGGGTAAGGAAAGAGGCTGTTAACTCACACAAATTAATTGAGCTGCTTCCAGGCAACTAAGAAAATAACATAGCATCATAGGAATGAGGGGTCATTGCTCCCCGAATCCCATCTACCACCTCTTTGCTGCAAAATGTGGGATTGCGTCTTTTCGCCAGGCACTCTGATACAGAGATAAGGTTTTGCATCCACTTTCCCATCATCTGAACTCAACCGAAAGGAAACTTCTGCTGCAGGCATTACAATTCTGATTAAAAAGGACCAAAGTGTTCAGCTGTGAGCAAGCTCAGGTTGAGCTGAGCTCCCTGATGAGAACGGCCTCAAACATGACTTTCTCCTTGCTCCAAAGCTTCCCTCCTCTTCCTCCTCCCCGTGCTCCCTCATCTCCAAGATTATGGGTGAGCAACATGACACTACAAATAAAAGCTCGTTATGCGTTAAAAAACTAATTATACATTTTGTTGTTGGAAGTGCACTGCAAGCGCAAGCCGGTAACACATGCATCATTAAGCTGTGGCATGTCTGAGCTCCCTCTCACCACTTCAGCCGTAAAATCCAATCCAGCTACAAACAAGCTTCTTTCCCTCACAGGTAAACAGATACCCGGGAAGTTTTGGACCACCCGTGGAAGGATGTACCCTGAGGATTTGTTTCCCCGCTTGCAAGGAAGGTGGCATACGGCTGCCTGGGCTCTCCTCCCAGCTCAGTACCTTTCTCCAGGTACTCCTCCAGCCCTCGCCGCCGGGCATCCAGCTGCTGCTCCGACAAAGAGAACGGCCACTTCCCGGGGAGACGGGGAAAAGTGAAGTTGGCAAATTCCCGTTTCAGATTCTGGTGCAGGATGGCAAACTCCCGGTACCGCTTCGAGCAGAGCTGGCGGCCCGCCATGTAAACATTGTAGACCTGCAGGGAGGAGAAGAGGCTCACTGGGGTGAGAAAAGTTTTCCAAATCCAAACTGGCACAGCTCTGCCTTCCCAGACCCACAAGCACAAGACTAAATTAGGAGGGTTTGAGCTAGAATGAGAAACTAGTATGAATAGTTAAATATGCCACTGCTGACCCCTGGAGCTGGGGAATGTCCCAACCACTACCTCCATCTGACAGCAGCAGGATCAGCACAAGTTCAAGGTGCCTTTCTACTCCAAGAGGAAGAGAAAACCACCCAAATCCTTTACAAAAGGCCCTAAACCCCAATGCAGCCGTCACGGCGTTCACCTGGATCATCTCCTGCACAAGCTGCACACGGGAGGGTCCCCAAGGTGCACCAAGCCACCACCAGACAGATGCCTCAGCAATACCGTGCTGACCACATCAGTTGTTTTTGGCAACAAAAGCCTCGTCGCCTTCCAGATGGGCTTGAAGCTACTGCTGAATTTCCAGTTCATTGCAGAATTGAGCCTCAGGTTGCAGCCAAAGCCCCAGAGCTTTCCCCGAGACACAGAGGTCCCAAACCAAGCAGGAGGCTTGGTTTGTGTCTGGACACAGCCCCTGGCAGCCACGAGGTACCGACCGTGGGGCAGATCCCAGGGGAGAAGCAGCATTATGTATCTTTTAGGAGCACCCCACGTTAACTAGTTTCTTCACTATGCGTGCACTCTTCCAGTTTCATTCTGGACACCGTTAAGGAAATAGGACTCTGGTCCCAAACAGGGGAAACCCACAGCAGAATCACGTTCGCAGGACATTTCTCAGCACTGCGATGCTCTTCAGGGAATTCCCTTCCCGTTCATTAACCAGCCGCCTCCATTTTTAAAGCCAATCTGCTCAGTCTCGCAGGCAAGTTAAACAAGCTCTTATCTAAGCATTGCTAATATGCCCTCAGTGATAAGGAGGTCCCAAACAGCAGCATTACCTTAATTAGCTTCACACCAGGAAAGGGATGCAGCGGGGAAGAGAGTAGGTTCATCCTTTTTCATGTTGCTCAAGGGAAGTGTTTGCAACCGCAACCTTTCCTCTTGAGGAGAGGCGCATCACCCTCCACTGTCCTCCCGAAGCCAAAGGGCTGGCAGAGCACAGAGTCGTCGTCTAGCAAGAGGCACGTGCCGAAGACACACCGAGAGTCGCTTCAGCAGCGTTCAAAAGACTCAAAACCCCAACCTGCTCCCCATATGAGGGCCCGGAGCGGTCCCAGCTTGCTCGCCCTCCATGTCTGCGCTCCAGATACCTGCCTGACACCCTTCACAAGAGGAAAGCGCTCCAACAAAACCACAGCTTTGTCCTTAAAAAGAAGCATGTGTTCAACCCTTCCGGCATCACCTCGAGAGAAGGTGCCAGGACGGGGCTAGATCCGAACAGCAGCAGCTATTGTCAGTCCAGTGAAGAGGCTCCCTTTGACCCCTTCTTTAAGATCCTGTGGTTTCTAGGACCCTTCTTCTCCTGGCCCACATGGCACACCTGACCCGACAGCATCCCGCCAGGGCTGGGACAGCAGGGCGCAGGGATAGCACACGCTCCCCGTGAGGCTGCGGATCCACAAGGATCCCATCTGTCCCCTTCAGAGACACGCGTGCCAGGGTGACACGTTGAAGTGACACGCTTTGCGCAGGAGCCTGACTCCTCTGG